AGATCAAGAATTAGGGTTGCATGCACACATACATTTTTTTTGTTATGCTCAAAACCCATCAGTTCTCTATGCTACCCATGAATCTTTCTTTCTCTATTTTTACCTTTTTAAAGAAGTTAAAGTTATCATTATAAAATTTCTTCCTCAAATCCCTGTAATGATCCTTATTTTCTATGTATTTGTTTGTAATCTCATGTTCCTTCGAGTATCTTCCAGTTAAAGAATATTTCTCAAAGGGTTACAAATATTACGAGAACATTACTAAGTGGTTATAGAGACTATGAAAAATTGGACTCGTCCTTGATGATCTATTTGAAACTTGCAATACATTAGAATGATCTTCTCTTTCAAAATTTAAATCTCTCATGCCTCCATTTCTCTTATAGGTTCAGGAAAAAAGATAATATAATGAATGAATTCCAATGTGCCTTGGAATTTATACTGGGAAATGGGTGTATTGATTATCGAAAGCCCTTTTAATGTGAAGTTATGACCATTAAATTCAAAAGATTTGTAATATATGTACGGGTGATATCCTTCTGAAAAAGCTGCAATAATTGCTCTCACTAATCTCATCATTTCATGAATCTTTCGTAACACCTGACGTGTCATTTGTCTTCTCTTTGACTTTTCTAATTTAGGATTGATTGAGATTTTAATATGATATTTGTCCATAATTCTCATTTGTCTCATTCTCCTCAGATTACATATCACGTTTCTCTGGATGAATTTATAATTGTTGTCTATTAATGGTTGCATCAGCTCTACTGATGGTCATCAGGGGTTACAATCCCTGATGACATCAGGATGCTTCATAAGTTCCACAAAAGGTAAACATGTGACTACTTCATAATAGAGTTTTTGGTCATCACCTTTTGATATCTATTGTTACAAGACTAGAAAAGTTGAAGTCGTTTAAACACTGAAATTTCAAGAATACTATGATCAAAGATTGTGTTGTCTCTTTGTTTTAGTTTAGGTTGTCATGTTCTACACCAGGTCAAACAAAAGCAAGTTTAGATCGTATGTATTGTAAATTATTTTCTTAAGCTTTCTTATATAAAAGAAAATAAATTTATTTCGTTTTGATTTGTTTAGATTTTGTCTTTATATTTATTTTGTTTTTCTATTTTTGGATTAAATATAGAAATACAAAAACAAGTGTTTTGCAGGTCTTCTCAACTAAGATTTTCAAGTGTATATTTCTATCAGCCTAATAGAAATATATGAGGGAGAATTCACTAAAATAACTAAATGGTGTTAAACGTTCAACTGAGGGCTAAATGGAGTTACACCTTCAACTTGGGGGGGGGGGGATTTAATGTTGTGTCTGGTGTTCAAATTATCATTGAACATTAGAAGTTATTTACCCCCTAAAATTATAACAGTGATATCTTTATTATGTATAAAAAGTTATTTTATTTTAGGCAATTATTTGTAGTTGATCTCTATGGAGTACTGAAATCTACAACCTAGTGTTCAATATGTCTCTAATGCTTTTTGTTGTTTAAACTTGAAAACCAGATTTTGGTGACTTGTCTGTTGTCATTGCAACACTTTAAGGGATTAAGGGTGAACCTTAAAGTCCGAATTACATGCATGGGTTCTAAAATTTTTGTGACGTAAACTATACAAACCTACTACTTCAAGTGAGCCATGGTGGATATAAACGTTTTGTGTGCATGTATGGCGTGATCATTTCCAAGTCATCTAATTCTCTTCAATTTGCATGATAAAGCATTCCCATATGCATGGTTTGCTCATTCAACAATTATATATAATATATATATATATATATATATATATATATTATCTCTTTTTGTGATGCATGAAAGATGTTGATGAAGTTGTAAACATCATCATGTCACCATAGATGTCAAACATTATTAGATAAAAGAAAGAAATGAAGTTTTAGTCATAAAATGCAATATCTTAAAGGAACAACGCAATTTATGAAGCATGAAAACAAAAGGTGTTCAAAAGAATAGTAGTTGACAAAGGATGCAAGACTGCAACATTATTGTCTTAAGAGTTGTGGCAGGAAAGTTTGTTAAAAAAAGAAAGAATGATGTGACTTGATATTTATTTCAAGACAGTTGCATTGGTATAATTGTAGAAGGAGAGGGAAAATATGTTTGTTTTGATTAATTGTTTTAGTTCTGATTTTTTTTTCTCAAAAAAACAAGAGTTGAACTGAACTGAACTACAAGCTCAGTGGGAAAAATTAAAATTAGAAGTGAAATTGAGCTTAGAAATTTATAGGGATCGGTCAAAATTTTGTTTAAAGATGATTGATTTTTTGAGTTGGTTGATAGCACGCATACAATAGGAGAGCAAATACTTGACATCAACTTCATCAAGTATGTTCTCTTTCTAAAATCATTGTACCTTTTATGTTTCGATGGTGGCCTTTCATAAGCCAAGTATCTAACTTTTGTCGTTATCATGTGTCCCTTGAATAAATGTTGTCGCATATGCCTTAATTCTCATGTCTTCCAGCAACTAATGACCCGATGAGATGTCACTTCAGAAGTCTTTAACCCAACATTTCATGTTTCTATCTGATGAGGCTAAATGATCCATCCATCTTTTGTGTTGACTTAATAGCAATGTCTAGTTTTTACCTAGAGATATTTTCTTAGTCACAAATGAAAATGATTATAAGGTCGTTATCTCTATTTTAGCCAATCTCTTTCTTCACATGGTGAACTCCTATGTTCATGTCATTTTGGACTGATAAATTTTCCCTAGAATCATTTTGGTGTATGTGCCTAAAAGCCTCATCCATCCTTAGAAGAATGACCTTAGTGACCTTTCTCGCTTAGAAATTCTTCCCAATAGGCCACTTTTTATATGGTAAGACTATAGAGCCACATATCTCTCTTTGAGCTGTTAGCAAGGTCTTTTCCAACTAAAGAGAGAATTGTTTGATCATCCTTGAAAATATTTCCTCAAGGAAAAGATGAAAAAGTAAAACCTCACAGCCATTTGTACATAAATCGTTTTCTAAAAGTTCTTTACACATCTCGCATGAACTGTCAATGTCTTTTATTCAAACCAATAAGAGATACATGTTCAAAGTTATATGCTTATGATTTATACTATTAAACCATAATATATGTGAAGCACCTAAAACTATTCTAAACCTTATTTTTTATTACATGGACTTCATTATTCCTTATAATAGACCATATAACGATGAAGGTTCGAAACTCAGTATCAGTGATCTTTTCTACTGACAACATATTCTACGTGAGATACAAAAAATAATTTCCCATTGTGTCGATGATCGTCTATTAAAACTTAGTTAATATGAGACTCACGATGCACTTGATGTCCCCTGACCACTTCTATCGACACCTATAAATTTGGTATGACATCTTCTATTCATTCATATAGACTTTTCTATTATTTATTTTTTCTGTTACAACAAAAATAAATTAGCAGGGGTATTTGACGATTTCCAAAAGGGGAAGAAAATTATTATCAGATCTGCTAAGTTGTTACTTGATCATTCAAAGAAAATCATACACACCTGAAAGAAGAAGTTATTTATCAGAGGGTGAGTAGACATCTCTATCAAAGGGGGAGAAACTACATTGAAATCTGATGATGTTCATCTGCTGAGGGGGAGAAACTATATTCTAAGTTTCATCATTAGTTTCAAAAATCTACTGATTTATCTTGTTAATTGCTATTTTATAACTTTGTAATTTGTTTAGTTTTTCCATTACCAAATAGAGGAAGATTGTTAGGACCACATTATATATTTAATGATGCAAAACATGTATATAGTTTTATAGTTTTTCTACTCATTGTTGTTGTAAGGTCAAGCCTTAGAATCTGATGATGTAAAACAATCATGTTGACTCAATCAGCGCCAATGTCTCTCAAGCGCCACTGTGAAATTATGTTTCTAAAGTCGTGTCAGCGTGATATGTATATCTTATATAATTTTTTGTAATTATCGAATCTACGTAGTTAGTTAGTAGATTTGATATCTTAGTGATATCGGATATACTATATTATTATCGTAGATTTGGTGATATCCCTGGTTTCTAGGGATTCTCACCGTATTTAATTTTCTATATATACTAGGTTCCATGTGATTGTTTTGATCATCGAACCCTAGAGATTTTTGCTCGTTCTCTTGGTGAGAACGTTTTCTTAGTTAAAACCTGTGTGTTATGCTTATGTGTTCTTTTGTTTATTCTTATTGTTAATTGATATCGATCAAGGAACCTACAACTAGTATTAGAACAGGTTGCTTATATTAATTAACTATGTCTTCCTCTTCTTCTTCTTCAAATCTCACTAAAACTACTTACGGTAACAAAATTCCACAATTCGATGAAGAGAACTTTACCATGTGGAAGTCGAAGGAAATGATGGTCCTTGAAACTATGGACTACTCAATGATTGATATCCTCAAAAAAATTCCTCACGTTCCTATGTACCAGCCCGTGAAGGATAATGTTCAAGATCGTGAGTTAGTTGAAAAACATGCTCATGAATTCAATGATGAAGAGAAACATCTTGTTGTTCTTGATGCCAGAGCCCATGCTGCTATAGGAAACTTTCTTCCGTATGATATCTATCACTCTGTTCGGAATGGTCGATTAGCCAAGGAGATGATGGATATGTTGACTGTTGTCTATGAAGGTACTGATGAGGTAAAGGCTGTTAACAAGAACAGTCTTAATCATCGATATGAGCATTTTTTTTTCAGAAAAGAATGAGACTCTTACTTATTTCATCAAATGTTTTAATTTCTTGGTGAATGATATCTGTTGAATTAATATGAACAAGACCAGAAAGTCTTTGGTTCTCCAGTTTCTTGATTCACTGAATCATAGGTGGGACCATCACGTAGATGTTTTGAAGAACAGTAAGAAAATCACAACCATGGAATTGACTTCTTTGTTTGGTAATCTTCATAATTATGAAAAACAAAAATTTTGAGAAAGGAAATCATGTGAGACACTCACAGGGACATATCTATGGCACTCTATTCAAAGAAGTCTCCTCAGAATAGCGATAGTGACGTCGTTGATGAATCTGAGGGTGAAGCCCTGATAGTCAAAAGCTTTATTAGCCGAAATGATACAAAATCTTCTGGACTTAAAAGATTTCAATCAAAGATTGACATAATAGCGTCTAAAGGTTATGAAACTGGAAGAAAATCTGCTGCTGAAAATAAAGAGGGCCCCAAGTGTTTCCAATGTGGAGGAGCTGATCAATTTGCCATGGAATGCAAGTCCAATAGGGTTGATACTAATGAAGATTATGAAGCAAAATACAAGAAGTTGTTGTCCCCTCTGAAGAGACAGAATATTGATGTAAGGATCTTAGTCGCTGATGTTGAAAACTGGGTGGGTAATGAAGAATCATCTGGCGAAGATGGAGGTAAAGACAAGTGTTTGATGGCTCACACTGATGCTCCAATCACTGATAAAGAAAGGAAAGGATCAAGTACCTTTGAAGCTGATTTGGCCAAAGTCGCTAAGGATTCAAAGACTCAGGACTGGGATTCCTTATCCTTACATCAGGTAAACAAGTTCATCACTTACTTATAAAACGAAAAATGTATCATGTTAATTACATATGTCATCATCTCTCAAAAGTTAACCAAAAAGGACACTCACTTAGGTTAGTGATAAACACATTGATGGAAATTTTGTCTAGCATTGAAAATACTCTTTCTTTAACTAACACTAAAGTCACCAATCTATCCATTACCAATATTGATCTTCATTCTAAAGAAGATAAAGCTTAAATGTATGTTGACGAACTTCAATGTATCATGAATAATTGGTCTCACTCTCACCATAAGTTAAATAAAATAGTAGATGCACAAATACCTGATCAGTGTGAAAAAATACTTTGTGGAAATAATGACGAGGTTGTCAACATTTATAAACAAATTGAAACTGAATAAAACTTTCCTTCCTCTCATGATCTATAGGAATGTTTGAAGTCTAGGTTTGTTAGCTACTCATTAATAAATCAATCTCTCATTGATAAACACTGCACGACTAATCTAGATGGTGTCACTATTTGCACTACCCGTCTAACTGCTTTTAGATCCTACTATTAGAAATCCCGCATTTGACATTCCTACCCCAACCACTGAAATGTATCTCAAGTTTCCAATTTCTAATGGAAAATTTCACCACACATGAGATACTTTGTGAATCCCCAAAATGTACTGTTAACTGTCATGTCACCGATAATTCTCATTCCTCTGACACTGATAAATCTTTGTGTACATCAGCGTGTCGGGTCCCCTCCACATCCTCTCACACAGATAAATCGTTTGTTTACAGGACTTGTTCAAAAATTCATGAAAAGGTTACAACTCTTTGGAAACCTAAATTTTTGAAAAGTGTCAACAAAAATAAAAAAACATGGGGTAAGGGTATCTTATCGTTGTGGAAATCCATCTCATAATATTAGTGAGTGCACCTTTGGTGAAGAATCTAAGAGAGTTCACAATCTTCGTTTAAGAAATGAGAACTGAACCAAAAATGATAACTCTCTAAATTGTGTTCCCACTACCTGTTATGATGTTTTTAAAGGGTTTTGAGCACTCTAACGACCTTATGGTGCACATGCAACCCTACATGCTTTGGATCTATGTTTTCTCTAATTATTCCTACAATTTGATTTTCTAAAGCATTATCCTAACTAACATACAAAACATGGGTACTTGAACAACAAAAACTAGTTAGATAACTTACCTCTTGTTGTAGCTTGTAAACTTGAACCTTTAAGAGCCTAGCACCCCAAATGTTATGCCTCAAATGCTTCACAAAACACCATCAACAATGGAGGACTTGAGAGAGTGTGACTTGCACAAAAATCGGCTTTTATGATCTCTTAGAACAACTAGTGTCCGATTTTAGGAGCTAATGGACTCCTTTTATAGTGTGGCAAAGTCTAGGGTTACATCCATGTAAACCATAATGACCTTTCATATTACTTAGGCTCCATGGGTTAAACCTCCATGAACTATCCATGGACTAACTTATTGGTTTAGCCCATCCTAAATAACCATAGGCCCACACTATAAGAATCATTGATTTACTAAATCAGTCCCCGTATATGTAATTAGTCTCTTTTGATCATTGAATTAATTCCAAATTAATTCTTGATCAATAATAATCAAATAATATGATTTCACATTAATATATTAGAACTTATAATATATTAATAAATCATAAATAACCTCTTCTCAAAAGTCCATCCTGTCAAATTGTTCCGGTGAAATGCAACCCAAATGGACCATGCTATTTTCGGGTCAAGTACATACCAATTATAGTTATGGACTTAGACACCTTATCCAACAGTTTTTTCTTTAGTAAAAAGACCCATGGAAAAATGGATCAGTGTATCCTAATTTGTTTCTTACCACTGCAGGGTACTGAGCATTTTTGGTATCTTGATAATTGATGTTGCAGGCATATGCCAGGTTGTAAGTCTCTCCCAAGTGATTATGTTGAAACAGATGACCATGTAGTGACGTTTGGATACAACAACAAAGGAAGAACTAAGGGGTTTGGATCGATTTAGTGCAAGACTATGGAATTTAAGGATGTTTCTTCTGTCAAAGATTTGAGCCATAACTTCATCTCTATCAGTCAACTTTGTGAAGCTGGCTACAAGGTTTAATTCAACGAGAAGGAAGGAAACATCACTGATTCAAAGAATAAATATTGCTCACTGCTATCATGAAAAATGACATTTATGTGTTTGTTGCTTCATAGGCATTTATTTCTTTGTATTTTTAATACTTTATTGCTTTGCTTTCAAAAATTACAAAACTAAAAAAATAAAAAAATAATAAATAAATAAATAAATAAAACAAATTTTTTTCCTTTAAGAAAACCAAGCTTTCATTTTTACCAAAGAAGTATACATTACATTCATATGTCTCTCTAATTATTAATCACTAGTGTTTTCTTATCTCTCAGTTTTCAAGTCTCAAGATCATCTATCTTCTGAATTTAATGTTGATATGCATTCTACCTTTCTTTAGAAAAGACCAACCTTATGATTTCTTCACACAATTTGTTGCAAGATCTTATCATTGAGTTTGGTATCTCGAACCATTCTCGAAAGCTCTACATCTTTTCTTCAGTGTCTGCCTTCTTCAGTGTGAAGATGACAATTAGGGTGATAGGCACTGAGCGTCTTACCATCGACATGGAACCATGTCTAGACAAAATGTTCTGAATGCTCTCTTTGCCTTCTCTTAGACCCCTAACCTGTTGAGACATGGTCAGGTGAAGATAAGAAGCATAGTATTTTTATTTTACTTAAAGGCTCTCACTGGTACACCGACCCCCCATCTGAGATCTAAAGAATTTATTCTCAAAACAGTGATTCTTGCCTCTCATTATGTAGGTCATAATATTTTGTTCCTTCGAGTCTTCTCCTGCTGACTTTCATAACTCAAAGGTTACAAAGATTAGAACTTCTTAACCGTTGGTTAAAAATATTGTGTTGCTTCAGATCTATACTCATTATGATGAATATGAAGCTTTGAATCCATCAGAATAATCTCACCTTCTGAGGATAAGAACATCTCCTTTTTAGTATTGGTGCTCAAATTTCTATTTTTTGATGTGTTTATGGGTGTGAAATGATTGCTAATTTGTCTCTCTTTTCTAGAAAGTAGTTGGTGCGGCAAGATTCTTGAATAGAGGAAGTACTTTATGAACATTCAATTCAAAAGATACACCATATCGGGTCCTTATGATCTTTCTAAAAAAGATGCATATTTTCCTTTATTGACTTTTTTCTTTTTGACTGGTTCTTTCTGTTTTTTTTTCTTAATTATGTCATGTTCCATATCAAAAGAATTGATGGTGAATCATTGGTTCTTGACTGGAACTGTAAAACTAACTTAGACATCCTTTTCTCTCACAATATCTCTTCTATCATAAAACTTCATGATTCACTATATAATACCATTCACTGATAAAAGTTTGAAATTATGTACTAATGGTTAAGCTATGTACTGTAGTTTATCACACACACCAACCCTTCTTGCCTTATCTTTCTTCTTTAAAGTTCTATGATTCAGCATATGATACCAAACACTGATAAGAAACTAAAAAATATGTTTCAATGGGTATATCATGTACCGTGAAATATTACACGCACATACCCACTCTTTCCCTACAAAGCTTCAAACAAAAAATTTTATGATTCACTGTATAAGGCATACACTAATAAAAAAATCGAAATTCTATGCTGATGGGTGCATTTCATACCGGAATGTATTACACGCATCATAACATTCTTTCCCAAATTAATTTTCTTATAAAAATGAAAAATGATTCAACGTATAAAACCATACGCTAATGATACCTCACAACACCTTGTAAGTGTTATACTATTGCAACAATCCAATAATGTGATACACCAAAATCCCTCATATCTTTGTGTTGCATGTCTCATGCACTGATGTTGACACTGATTATATCTCCGAGACTCCTCCACATGGTCAAGGTAATGCATCTCATGTTCATACACCCTCTCTTAATTGTGTTCGAACTTCTCAATTTTGCACTCTTGAAGCTCCACAAGTCCAATATGATCTTACATCATATGCTCAGCGTGAACAGCGTCCCCCTATTCAATAAGTTCTTCCCACACAAGAAAATATTTAGTAGGAGGAATCACTACCATGCCAGTTTCTTGTTGATTTCATAGACTTTCAGAACAAAAGTTTTTCTACATTGTATTCTCTAGTTCAACTCACTTCCAATATGACTCGGCTTCTTGTTACAATTGAAATGATTTCGCTGAAATTAAGCGTATAATCTCAGTAACTGACACTGAAACTGAGGATGGGTATTAGTCTCCTCCAGGGAATGACGAACAACCACCACATGGTTCTAAAGGTTCTCCTCCATTTACTGGACCCTCCACCTCTATGCTTCCTCCTCCCCCACCACTACCTTCGGGTACTTTACCGTCCACTCCTCCTCATAAGAGTTCTCCTCCAACTATTTCTCCTCATAATCAAATGCTAGTTGTTTCCATTGTGCCACTTACTCAAACTGATGATGCCAAAAAGAGGGAGAATATAGTTAACTAATTCACCAGTAGCACTGCTACCGATGAAAATGAAAATGAGGCTAATGTTGAGGACATTCCTAACACTCCTGATCAATTTGATAATGAAGTATATTATATAGACTTGTCATTTATTGATGTGTATCCTCTTCATATAGTATATCATGACACTGATACTATTGGTGTTGATGTTGAGGGGGAACAATATCTTCCTCAAGGGAAACCAAGTGACATTGAAACTGATGAAGATGATGTTCCTCTGAGCAAAAAAAGAAAGGAAACAATTGCCCCTGATGTTGGCGTTTCCAAGAAGAAGTGTAAAGAGCATACAATTTTTGAGATGGAAAATGTTGGGGTGTTTCTATCGAAGTGTCTAGGGAGTATGTCGGACAAGATAACATTCAATCCACTAATCGAATGTATGAAAGGTGAGATTCCAAGATGAATCGAAAGGAGGTTACTGGCTCTTGCATTATGCCTGATCATATTTAACGATTGGAAAAGTTCAACTTGAAAGATTCAAAGGAGAAATTTATTCAAGAAAGTGCAATTACCAGACTTGAGGGGGGCAGGTTTGGAGATGTACTGACAAGAAGAAGTGATCCTGGTACAATCATAAAAGTTAGATGCTCCAAGACCAAGACTAAAATAATGCTTACATTGTATATCACAAGACGTGGTGACAAGGTTAAAGCTTTTGGCCAATATACTAAAGTCTTGTCCTCTTAAGATTTGGTGAGTTTTGGGTACAATTAATGGATGTAACTTCTTGAGTTGATCAACAAGCAAAAGGTAAAATATGTTGAGGAACAAAGGCTTATTCTAGAGAGACTCATCACAAAGTTTAAGGATCTTGGATTAATACATAAGACCTTAAATAAACCTTCCTCATCCTGAGCATCTGCTTCAGTGTCTAAGAAGAGAACCTTCAAACGTGTTAGATTTCTACTTCCCTATGGCACCATGGTTATTGACAACTCTCTGCCAGTGGTTGTTCATCTAGTTCAACACATGTTCATTCTTCAACTAGATCATGGCATCTTCTATATGGATGAATCTAAGCGTATGTGCTTCCGGTGTTCAAATGATCTTGCCAAGACACACACTAAGCACCTGGTTCATCTCAGAATTGTGAGTCTTGTCTTTGCAAAATATTCTCAAAACTATATCTTCTTAATATCGTTGAAATTAAACAATATAAAAAGAGAGCTTGATATCTCAGACTATTTTTGGGTCAAGCTAGAAGTTGAAGAAGATGTAAATAAGTTTTATTTTCGTTCTGAATAAGAAGACTTTTGGTTTTGACAACATCAGATAGGGGGTAATTGTAAGGTTAAGCCCAAGAATCTAATGATGTAAAACAGTCACGCTGAGTCAATCAGTGCCAATGTCTCTCAAGCGCCAGTGTGAAGTTATGTTTGTAAAATGGTGTCAGAGTGATATGTATATCTTATGTAATCTCTTGTAATTATAAAATATATGTACTTAGTTAGTAGATTTGATATCTTAGTGATATCAGATATACCTTATTATTACCGTAGATTAGGTGATATCCCTGGTTTGTAGGGATTCACATCATATTTACTTTTCTATATATAATAGGGTCAAGATCATTGGCTGATCATCGAACCCTAGAGCTTTGTGCTCGTTCTCTTGGTGAGAATGTTTTCTTGGTGAAAACCATTAATATGTTATTCTTCTATGTTCTTTTGTTTATTTTTATTGTTAATTGATATCGAACAAGGAACCTACAGTTAGAAGTCAATGTTGGGTAACTAAGTACGAATATTACAACTTAGCAAGCGGAGCCATCAGGCAGCGAATTTATCTTTGTGTTGGGAGCTGTTTTATTTTATGTAATGTTGGAGCAGTCGAAGAAATATATATATATATATATATATATATATATATATATATATATATATATGCTACTGCTCTATCGAAACTGAAGACCAGATCTGAGTTGCCTTAGCTAATCAGGTATGGAACATTTATGAAGCTACTGAAGTGTGTTATAAAGCTCCTAATGAAATAGTCATCCACTAATTCCATCCCCTGATGGTATCCCCAATGGCCATCCCCAGATGCTTATCCATCAATGGATATTCACTAAATTCTTCCACCGACGGAATATATTAGAATACTTGTTGAAGAAGTTTTACTGAAGATCTTATTTGATCTATTCCATATATCATAAATTTGGTGTATTCTTGAATATATTAATTCCCTTATGTTCGGGATTTGAATTATTGAAGATTTCATTTGCATATTTAAAGATAATCTTGAAGATTCTCATCTCCTACCTTTATGGTAGGTTGTTAGTTTATTTAGTATTTATATCGTACGATATCGAATGTCGAAAGTTGATGATTTATATTAATATATGAGGTTGAGAGTTCTTTATAGAGAGTTTTCCAAGTGAGTTCTCAGAGAGAGAGAGAGAGAGAGAGATTCAGAAAGTGTATTCTTTTTGAATCATTATTCTTAAACGTAAACCTGAAAAATAAAGTATGTTCTTTGTTTCTCAAACATTTTTTCTATTATTCCAAGTTTCATATTGATTTCATACACAAATATTTGGGTTAGGGACCAATACTACCAATCTTCAAAAACACACACCTAGGACCACCACCACCACATACCTTCTTCGAGGACGTTAACACCACCATTGATGCAAACCCAACCTCCGTTTCATCTCTCCCATGTCACTACCTTATTACATTTACCTTCTTCCTCTATGGTGGTTTTAGATCTACAAAAAGAAGATTGCCACCTCTACCGGTAACTACCACCACCATCAACGACTGCAACACCACCGACGACCGCTATTTTTTTCTCTCACATCAGATTTGGTTAAATATGATGTAGATTCGGGAATTTGGTGCTATTTAACAAAGGTTTTGGTGTTATTTCATCATGTCTTCGTTGGATGAACACCATACATGTTCTCCCATCATTGGTTTCACCTTTGCAACATCACAAATCATAAATTTCAACCATCATCCCAACCCATATGTGCTAATATTGTATTCGTTTTTTGTTCCAACACTCTTGAAATCGTTTTTTTTTCTCTAATTTGTTCCATCACTGAGGAAATATATGCCAAACCCGTACTAGATCTGTTCCACCACCACCTGCTCCTTTCTTTGTTATCTTTTTCTCCAATTTGTTCTTTGGTGGTAGAGTTAGAAAGGGAAGCTATGGAAATGAGATACACATAAGTGATTGTCTGGATCACTATAAGGTAATGGAATTGGAATCCAATTCCACTATATTCTAGTGTTTCGTTCAACTTTTTGAGATGAAATTGGATTCCTAATTGAAAACTTTTCCACCAAATCAATGAAATTCAATTCCTTCAAAAGTTGGATGGAATTAATTCCAATTCATGAGGGAAAATGTAAGATTACCATATTAACCTTTTCTAACACCCACAACTACTGTACCGCTACTACCAACACCACCTACCACCACCACCCCTGCCGCCACCGCTACAACCATTGTCGCCAACACCTCCATCATCCGCCACCATCACCTCTGCCACCAACCGCTACATCCACAAACACCTAACACCACCACTACTGTCACCACCACCACCACCATCGCCACCACCACCTCCATCTCTACCTCTGCTACCACTACCACCACCTTCCACAACCGCCACTTGCCACCATCACCACTGTCCCAGCCACCAGCCGCAACCGTCGCCGCCACCAATAACACTGCACACAATCATCACAACCACCACCACGACTACGATTACTACCACCAACAATCACCACCACCGCTATAACTACCACTGTCTGCCACCACCACCACCACCATAATCGCTACGATCACTACTCGCCATAACCACCACCTACGATCAAAGCCATAATGCTACCGCTACAATCTATCATCATCATTACCACAATCGCCATCACCGCCTCTGCCATCGTCACCTGCTACCACCACCGTCGCCGCCATCACCGAACACCACAAATAACTTATCAAATAAATTAAAATTAAGAAAAAAATAAGAAGGGTAATTATGCCATTTTACATCATTCCATTTCCATTTCCCTCCAACCAAATAGAATATATAATTGGGTTCCATTTCCATTTCTTGCCAAACAATCAAACTACAGAATTTAATTACAATTCCTGACAGATTCTAATTACTTGACATATTCTAATTCTTTCATAGACATTCTGCAAACCAAACGCTACTTAAGGTGTTTGGATAAATGTTGTAATGAGTTTTTTTAGAGCTTAAACAGTGAGTGTTGTACTTTAACCTATGAATGAGTGTATTAAACTATGGATATAATGTAAATTAAATAGTGAATGAATGTATTTAATTAGAATGTGCAAAGTAAACTATGATTTTTTTTTACTTTTTCTACATTTATAAGTATTTGTGACATCCCCAATTTTCTCGGACAGAAAAGACCATTTTGTTTATTCTTATTTAAAATGGATTTTATTTATAAATACATAATTTTTCCTATAAAAAATATTTCCGAAGAAATATTTTCCATTGATTGATTAAAATTTGGGATGTCATAACTGATACAAAACATAAGCATAACCAGACTTTACACTATGTTAGACTAATAGTCTACATCTCCTTGAATCGCTCATCATTCATGTACCTTTGTATCGCTACCTGTGATACAAAGAAACTAAGTTGGTCAGGTTGGGAAACCTGGTGTGTACATAGGGTTTTCAATCCCGTAATGTTTTAATATATATATATATATATATATATATATATATATATATATATATATATATATAGAAAGAGAGAGAGAGAGAGACACACACACACACACACACACACACATATATATATATATATATATATATATATATATATATATATATATATATATATATGCAAAATCATTAACACAAATACATCTCCTATAAGCAATATACCTCATCTCGTCGATCCTCACATAGCGATCCTTTATAACGACCCACTCCATATTATCGAATAAGGAATAAATAACTAATACATAGTCTCAGATCGGTAATGAATGACTAAATATAATCTATACTCTCGGATTCATAAATCACTGGCTTTACCAAATCCCTACTCTTGGATCAGGAGTAAATGACTATAGATAATCCATACTCTCGGATCAGGAATGAACGACTAAATCAAATCGATACTCTCAAATTTATAAATTAATGGCTTTACCTAATCCATACTCTCAAATCAAGAGTAAATGACTATACCTAATCCATACTCTCGGATCAGGAATGAATAACTAAACCATACTCTCGGATCCGTAATGAATGACTTAATCTAATCAATACTTTCGGATAATGAATGTCAGAGTTCTACCCTCCGCTCATGTCTCACACGTACTCATAAGATGATGCCACCCAATATCCACATTAGTTAAAGCTAAGTGTAACATCCATAAAATTCATGCCAATTAAAAATTTTTTCAAACA